AGTATGGAGCATGCAGGAGGCAGCGGATCAGTGATTCTCATCATTGATGTTTCTATATCTCTCTCTCCCTCTCTCTGAAATCAATAAAGACATATATATTTTTAAAAAAAAACTGACTTAAAAAAAAATCTAGTTATATGTTATTTATAAGAGGCCAGAAAAATAGAAAGTAGAGTGATACTAACAAAAATAGTAGCCAAATAATGGTGCTATAGTTATTTGACATCAGACAGTATAGACTTTAGGACAAAGACATTATTAGGGATAAAGAATAATACTACATATTGAAGAAGGGTTCAGCCCACCAGGAAGATATTATTCTCAAAGGATACACAAGAAATGATGTAGCCTCAAAATATATAAAGCAAAAATTGACAGAAATTATAAGGAGAATTTGACAAATTATAGCCAATAGTGGGAGATTTTAACAAACCTCTCTTAGTATTTAGTAACCATATAAGTGATTTGAACAATACAATTAGTACATTTGATATAGTAGACATATAGAGAACCATACATCTCCCCAATAAGAGAATACACATTCTCTTCAGGCACATGTAAAATATCAATAAGCATTAACCATGTGCTAGGCTACAAAGCAAATCTCAACAAATTCTACAAAGCCAATATCATACAGACCACACTTTTTAAAAATCCACAATGCAATGTAATTAAAATCAGTAACAAAAAAATAACTTGAAAAGTTATGTTTGGAAAGTTAAAAACATACTTTTGAATAATTTATGGGTCAAAAAAAAAAGGATTATATCAGAAAATATTTAGAAGTGATCAAATTTTAAAATACTATATACCAGACAAGCCCAAACTGAGGCACATTCTACACAATACCTGACCAGTAGTACCCTTCAAAATACTATATGTCAAAAAGTTAAAAATAAAGATAAATCAGGACTTAGCGGTAAAATATTAGCTTCAAACTCATGTATTAGAAAAGAAGAAAGGTTAATGAGTTAATTATTCACTTCAAGTAGTTAAAAAATAGAGTAATTGCAAAGGAATAGAAGGAAGAAATAATGAAAAGAAGAGCAAAATTTAGTGAAGAAGGAAATAAAGAATTAATAAAACCAAAAGTTGATTCTTTGAAAACACTAATAAAGTAGACAAACCTGTATAGGACTGATCAAAAAAGAAAAGGTACAAATAAAAATATTTGGAAAAAAAAAAAAAACATACTGTGAATGTTTTTATAAGGTATTATATTTAAAAGTTAAAATGAAAATTTTCCTAAAAGGGCCCAGAATATCTAAGACAATTTTGAAGGAAAAAAGAGGAGAGGAGGAAGGAGAGATGTTCACTTTATCAAATTTTAAGATTACTATAAAATTATAGTAATTAAAACAGCATGGCATAGGCACAGGGCTAGGCAAATCAGTGAAATAGACTGCAGATCTTAAAAAGAGCCATAAATGTATATAAAGACTATATGTAAGTAAGTAACATGAATTAGAGGGGGGAAAGATGGACTGTTCATCAAATGGTGTTGGGGAAATTGACTAACCTTATGAGTAAAAGATGAAGTCAGTTTCTATTTTACAGCATACCAAAAATAAATCCTAAATATAAATTAAAGAACCAAATGTAAAAAGCAAAGTTAGAGAACTTTTAGAAGAAAACATAGGAAAATATCTTTATAAATTCAGGGTAGGAAAGAATTTATAGACAAGAAAGGAAAAGCATAAATTGTAGAGGAAAACATTAAATATTTCCACTCGATGCATTAACCAACAGATGAATAGGGCTCTGCAAATCAGAAGCACAGCAGACAGACAGACAAAGATGAAGGCAGTTTACAGAAGAGAGGTGGGGAATGATTCCAGAGGGGAAGGAAAAGAAAAACATGTTCCTCTAACAAACACTAACGTTCCCAAGAGACGGCGAGGAGGAGCAATGAGTTGAGAGTACAGTCTTACGACCACTTTGGTGAGTACTTTGGCAAGTGAAAGGTTAACTCTCAGCCATGAATGTAATTCCACTTCCATAAATATGTAAATCTTACGTATTTCTTGAAGAAACACTTACCCATGAACACAAGAAAACACCTTTGTTTGTAATTGCAAAGACAAGAATGGTAAAGGCCCCTCAGCAGAAGACCAGCTATATAAATGCTTATATATTCACACATTGAAATATTTTATATACTTTTCAGGAATGAACTAGATTTATCTACCTATTGAATGTCCCTTCATCCTTGTTTAATGTTTATAGTAAATGTTAATACTGTTCGCCAAACATTCCCTTTCTCCGGGGCCCACGCAGGGTTGCACTTTCCCACCTCCTTGAACTTAGGTAAGGCCCTGTGACTTGCCAAGTCAACGAATCAAATGTGAGCCAAGTGATATGTTACTTTGGGGGAAAAGGCATTTTGTTTTGTTTTGATATATTTTTTATGTATTTCCTCACCCAAGGATATTTTTTCCATTGTTTTTTCAGAGAGAGTGGAAGGGAGAGAGAGAGAGAGAGAAACATCGATGTGAGAGAGACACATCGACTGGTTGCCTCCCACACGTGCCTCAATGGCTGGAGATCAAGCCTGCAACCGAGGCATGTGCCCTTGGCCAGAACCGAACCCAGGACTCTTCATTCCGCAGGCCGATGCTCTAACCACTGAGCCAAACCAGCTAGGGCTGGGGGAAGAATTTTAAGAGCTAGTACCCAGCTCACTCTTTTCATTGCTACAGTGATGGAGGAAGCACATATTAATATAAAACCTCCATCACTCAGGTCCCCGGGTGATATACAGCGAGCACAGCAACTTGGCTGATTGTCATTGAATACATATGGTAAGCAAAGGATAAACGTGTGCTGTGTTAAGCACTGGGGAAGAGGGGGCTCTTGCTGCAGCCCAGATTACCTACAGTGTTATTATTTTATGTCTCAGCTCAATTTATTGTGCATCTTGGGTCCCTTCCTTAAGTTAACTTTTCCAAATCACAGAATATTTCCTCTTTTTCTGTGAGACATAGGTACCAGGACGTAGCCTCTAAATATAGCTCTTCATCTGTCTCTTTTCAAAGTAATGGGAGTGTCTCTCTAAGCCCCTTCTCTGTCAGAAAACTGTCCTTACAGGTTATTTCACCAGTGTTTTTGCTTTTTGCTTTGGTGTTAAGCCTCATAGTCGAGATTCATCACCAGAATCCCCCTCCTCTCTCCCCTCTCCTGCCTTCCTCCCTCTACCTGTGGGTAGCTGTCTCACCTGCTGGGGGCAGAGCCATCAGGGAAGGCCTGTGAGATGAGCTGGGCTTGCCCAAGTACAGGCATGCCCAGCTTTGGGAAATAAATGCACTGCATGTGGACACATGCAAGACAGTTTACTCGGCATCATTGTAAAGTTAGGAATGTTTCCACAAGTGGTAGTACTGCTCACGCTGTTTTCAGAGAGTATAATATTATACTGAAAGGTACAGTATATATCTGATAAGAACTTGTCTTTTTTTCTAATCTGTTTTTAAATTATGTAAAGTAAGCTACAAATCTTGAATGTAAGTAGCTAGAGTTAATCTTAGATTCAGACATTTCTTAAATGTCTGAAGAAAACCCCCAGTGCTAGTAAATGCACAGAAAGGGCCCAGGGATGTAAAAGGCCCTCACCTTTTATCATTTTCTTCTTAGTGTTTAGAAAATCTACATTGTTTTTGAACAGCTATTATTTGTGGAAGCCCTTGATTTTTATAAATGAACAGGTTGATATGGCTTTGAAGTATAGAGAGAGACTCAGAATGAAAACAGAGCTGATGTTTTAAAATACAGTAGTTTGTGAACAAAGAGACGAGCGTGTGTATTAAAATGCATGAAATAGTAAACAAACAAAAAAAGGAAACAAATCATGGCTGAGGGCTACTGTATATCCTGAAAAGGGATTGGTGTCATGTCCTGGACCACTTTTCTGCTTTATGAATTTTAATAGTAAACATATATATACACATATATGTATATATATATCTAATCTTTCTTTAAATAAATGTATTAAATGTCATGAAATAAGACAGTTTAGGGACTACTAATAAAACAAGCGTCATGTACCTACCACCTAGCTTGAGAACAGAACAAGACCAGTGCATTTGAAGCCCTCCAAGATTTCATCATGGAAATAAAATCAATTAATGTTTGGAAATCAATTAATTGGTGGGGGTCCCTCCAAGATTTCCTCTCCCTTTTCCCAGACAAATTAGCCTCAATTTTGTATAATGATTCCCTGGGTTTCATTTTTAGTTTTACATTTATGTTTATATCCCTAAACAAAGCATATTTTTAGTTTTGCCTTTTTAAAAACTTTGTATAAGTGAATTCATGCTGTTTTTCTGTGCCTTGCTTTTTTTCACTCAACATTGTATTTTTTATTCATCTGCTTGCACATAGCTGTGCTTCATTAATCTCAATTAACGTGTAGTTTCACACTGTAGTGGTATTTTGCAATATGTTTATTCATTTTATATTTTGTGGGCTACTTTGTTTCTTTATAATACAGTTTTTTAGGGTTAATTGCTAGAGGTAGTCTGGTGTGTTCCAACCTTAGGTTCAGCTTTTTGTTGTTGTTGTTAATCTTCACCCAAGGATATCTTTTCCATTGATTTTTTTTTTTTTTTTAGAGAGAGTGGAAGGGAGGGAGGAAGGGGGGAGAGAGAGAGGGAGGGAGATAAAAAGTAAGAAAAGGGATGTGAGAGAGACACATCGATTGGGTGCCTCCTACACGTGCCCTGATGCCCTGAGCGGGGCTGGGCATTAAACCTTCGACCCTTCGGTGCGTGGGCCAACACTCTAACCACTGAGCAACACGGATCAGGGCTCAACTTTTTTCCAAAGCTATTTGGCATGGAAAATGTGTTTATATCCTGAGATAACCATGATGTGCTAATTTACCTTTTAACATTGATTTGAGATAGATGATTTTTTTCATAGTGTATATATCCTGATTTTTTTCATATATCAGGATATATTTGGCTTTTCTTATCTTGATGCCGAATCTTGTGTTGGATTTGCAGTTCCTATGGAGAATGTTGCAACGATTGCTGATTGTGCCAGTGTGATTGAAGGAGTCAGTCGGAGCAGAAATGCCTTGCTGAATGGGGACACCAAGAATTATGATTGGGATTCTGGCTACACATGCCATCAGCTGGGAAGCGGGGCCATTGTGGTTCAGCTGGCACAGCCATACATGATCGGGTCTATACGGTAAGAAGATTCCTTCTCACTCACTACTTTTCAAATGGAAGACACATGTGCAAATTATATTTTGGTATGATGGTCCCAGTAACTTCAGTGAGACACTCTTCTGTCCTTTGCTCTAAATTGCGAGTGAGGGGTGGAAAGGGACACGAGGATACAAGGTACTTGTTGGGTTCTTGGGGTGGGGGGAGGTGGAGGGAGAGGTGCACCAGAGTTAGACTTTCGGAGGAACCAGAGCAGAGGCCTCTCCCTGGGCTCGTATTGGTCAGGGACTTGTAGGATAATGTCAACACAGGTTATACAGAAACAAAAATCATTTGAAACTTTATTAAATGACTTTACATAGGAACCAAACAGAACTGTGTATGAGACCGGCTTCTAAAAAGTCTTCGTTATGATCTTTGTGTCTGGTTTTTAGTTGTTACCTTTTTTTTTTTAAGAAGGGAACTTTAACCCGTTATTGCTTGATTTATAGGATCATATAATTTTAAACCATGTGGGTGACACCCCCTAGAGAATATATTCCTAGTTCAAGAGAGCCATCTGGGTCTTGAGTAGGCTGCCTTTTTAAAAAAGTGGTCTAAGAAGGTCTCTGAAAGACTAATGGTAAATTATATATATAAGATATATTATATATGTATGCATTTGTATTTATATTTAACATTAGATAAGATATTTTACATCATATCTTAACCTGCAGGGGTAGAGATGTTGGTGGGACATGGCTGCCTTTACCCCTTCATGCTCCACCACATTTGCTTTGTTGTTACCTGTTCTCATTTTAAAGTCAGTGTGTATAAAGAGAGACACAGCACAAAAATGAGGGAGTAGGATTCTAATAGGCAAAAGTTAATTGATGTTTAGGCTAATAACCTGAGAGGTAATTGCTGCTTGCCAGTTCCTGGGATACCCTGATGAGTGATGGCAGATTTCTTGGAGAATTCAAACTGCGGATTTCTTCATATAAATTGTCAACTCTTTTCATAAAGGGCTATATACAGTCTGAGTACCACAGACAACAAATCTCAGATAGAGAGGCCTGGAGTTTATACTGCAGACCAGACAGCTCGCTTTGTGCTTAGGAAGGGGAAGAGACAAGCCACAATCAGTCTGGACAAACTACCAGCGCAAATAAACTTAGAGCAAACAACACCCCTCCTTCCTTTTTCTCAGCTGCGTGCATTAACTAAAGTATTCACGAGCCATCTATTTCATACGCCATTCTAGAATTCTTGTCATACATGGTGTGAAACTTATCTGAGTATTTCTCATTACAATCTGTCCCTCTTCACTTTAAAAATCTGGGAAACAGTTGTCCTTCTCTTGTCACTGGCACTCTTTATAGTCTCCACAATTTCTTGAAGATTACCAGTCGTGTCTCTGAGATTACATCTGCAATTTCTTTCAGCAGGCGTGTGGTGTAACTCATCTGAGCCAGGAGACTTGAAATCATTTAAATTGACTAGACACTCTCTTTCTTTCACTTCACCTATTTGGGGCTTCAATTTTCTCTTTATTATGTTTGTTCTGCCATTTCTAATTTGAAGACCAGTCTTGTTGCCGATGAACATGTACGCAAAATGGCAGCCTACTAGCTCTGCCCACTCTCTTTTAATGTTCCCTGTATTCTGTCTGCTTACCTGGGGCCCTCCCCCTCCCCCTACAATGTTCCGTGTGCATCTCAAACCAATGTGTCGGAAATGGCTTCCATTATCCTTCCCTTCCCCTGTTCAAGTTGCCTCACACCGTGATGACCCCTCTCATTCCATGGGCCCACCCCTCTATCCATCAGCTGAGCCAAAAACATGGGAATCTTTTCAAATTTCTTCCTCTCCTTCCCCACCTCCCCTCATCCAGTTGGCTGTAGAGTTCGGTCAGTACCGGCTCCTGCATGTCTCACAAACCCTTCCCTCTTCATCCCACTGCCGTCGCCATAGTTGCACCTCTGTAGTTTCCTCTCTGCCTGGTCTTCCAGACTTTCATCCAGCCCTTCCTTCCCCACCCGCCACCATCTCCCACCTGTTACCACAGATCTGATGCACTCGTGCCCCTTCCTAAGAGGATTCATGGCTGCTGTTTGCCTTCAGGAGAAGGTTCAGACAAAGGCACTTGAGTGATCTGACTTAGCTTCTGACGGTACAGCCTGTCTCTTGCTTCTCTGCCCACCCTGCGTGTGCTCTGTCAGCCTGCCCTCCCGGCTCCTGGCAGCTCTACACCGGTGTCGCCCTCTAACCACCACACCGTCAGCTCTCTAGTGTGCTGTTCTCCTGCTTGCCTGTCTTCGCATCGCCCCTTTATACTGGCTCTTATCCCCGCTTCGAGACTCCACTCCTTTGGGCATGCTTCTTTAACCTCCCATGGTCTCCTGGGCTCATTTAGGCATTCCTCTTCAGTGATCTCTGTATTTAATTCCTACCAGAGCGTTTGTCGTATTTGTGTAATTGTGTGCTTGCTGCCTGCTCCCAGCCTCACCTGATACATAAAGCCTGTGGCAGCTCAGAATGAACGTCCCCTGACAGACTGTGCAGGTGAGGTAGTATGACAGGAAAGGGGAAATTATGGTGGGTGCATAAGAGATCTAGAATTTTAGATCCAATAGGGGCCTTGTGAGGTCTTTGCCAAAGTGAAGGCTTAGAGACAAATAGGCACTTCATGTAACAAGGCCACCTTGGCCTCAGCTCTAGCAAAGCATCAGAGGTTGAATCTGACTCCAGAAAAAGGTGTGCTTGGGGCTTAAGGTCAGAGAGAGCAGTGCCCATTTGCTTTCTTTGAATGTGGAATTAAATGCTTCCCCCAGTTTCCCTCGCCCTGACTCAGAGGAGGGATGGCGTGCGTGAGCACAACCCAAGGCAGAGTCGGGCACCTCAGCACAGTTGGATGCCTCCGGCTTCCGCCAGCCCAGCTAGTGTTTCTGCGGTGAGAAAATCCATGCGGTTGGAGCCTGTGTAACTGGCTGAGCGCTCAGAGAGACACGTCTGTGGGAAGCTCACTTTATGTTGTCAGGGGCTTCATTTGCCTCTTCTGTGACATTATTAAGAGAGGGAGAGGGATTTCTTAACCACCAATGCCCACGGACAATGCTGGATGTCCAGGCAGGCCGCAGTTAGCAGCATCTGATGTGCCCAGACAGATGTTTATTGATAGGAAAGTAGATCAGTGGTACCTCTTCATGGGGATGGGTAATTGGCCAAAGACTGGTTGATTAGTCAGTGACATTTGACCTACAGTTTCTATTGCTTGTGATGACTGACTTGCTTTCCTAGTCACTATCTGAAGAAGCCCAGTGATTCTGGATCTGCACCTGAGGGCAAGCATTACAGAGCTGAGTGACTTACACTTCCCTATCTGAAAAGAGAGCTGGCAGTGCTGTTTGTTGAAGGAATGAAAGAAAACAGGGAGGGGGAGAGGGTCAGAGATCCCTTGCTTTAAATTCAGATTTCTTTGTAGGTGACAATTACTAAGGCCAAGGCCTCAAACGCAAATGATCTCCATCACTGCATTCTTTATTCCTGTGAGGGGACATAATTGTTTTGTGGTAAAAAACAATTTATTTTGATCTCTCTGTTTTCATCCACAGAAACCATTTCTTCCTTTCCCGAGAGTTTCCTCTGTGGCTGGGTGGCAAGCAGAGCCTTGTTTCTTGACTGATAATGCTTTCACTTAACCCAGTCAGCAGGATCCTAATCCTGCCAGAGTGTCTGGTACCAGTCCCTTGGGGTGTCCTGGAGAAGCTGACCTTGAAATATGATCTCTGACCATCTCCCCCTCCCCGTTTTCTTTCATTCCTTCAACAAACATTTGTTGAGTCTTCTACTGTGTGCCAGACACTGTTGTAAGCACTGGGGTTACAGCACTGAGTAAAGAAAATAGTCACCAAACATTGGTGCTCTCGTGGAACTGACATCCTTGTGGGAGAGATAAACAGTAAACAAACACTTCACGTAATGTGTCAGATGTTCTGAAGTGTTCTGAGGCAATCAGGAGGGAGGACTGGGAGATGGAGACAGTGCAGTTTTAGATTTAGAAGAGCAAGCCCATCGGGGACCTGGGAGACAAACATCACAGGCAGAGTGCCAAGGCCCAGAGGGGGGAGCACATCTGGCAGGTTGCAGGAGCCCAAGGAGACCACTGTGGCTGGAGCAGAGTGAGGGCGGGGAGGGTACGAGGCAAGTGGAAGGAGGTGGGAACAGCCCGGAGATGCTTTGTTGCTGTTTCTATTTTCAGTCACCAGCTTCCAAACCATCCCACCTGCCACCATGACCCCATCCCAGTGTTTCAACAGCAGTTAGAGGAGAGTTTCCTTGCTGAGGAGAGGGGCAGGGCTGGGCCGTCATGCCTGTGGAAGCACCTCCCTTGCTCCTGGCCTTCCTTTATCTACCTGGCCCCTGGAAAAGGAACAGCAGGAGACCTCCTAATCCTTGCAGTCTAACGGGCAACTTTCTCCCCATCCTTGTGTTTCTCCTTCCCAAGAGCCAGAGCCCACAGTGCAGCTGAGAAATAAAGGCGTATGTCTTTGTTGTTGCTAGGTTCACAGGCACAGCAGAACTTACACATTTTATTTGAGAGAAAAAGGGAGAAATTGCTTGGAATGTGCCTTAAAAGGGGGTAACTGAGTGATAATTATTTAATTTTTTATGCCATTTTAAAAACATTAAAATTTAAATAACAGGAAATCTTCAGAAGCCCGACCACATGAAAAGACCAGGGTAGAATTATAATAACTAACCCGATCTACCTAATGTCTTAGTTCATAGTCCCTCCATCACCTTTATTTAAGACTTGCTAATCTTGATACTCTTTTACGTGTTTCCAGGTTAGTATGAGAAATCACATATACTGTGCATGAAGTATGCCTATCACCCAGTCTTTTTCAGCTAAAAAATGCAGCACTTTGTTGAAACCCTACTTATAAGTCAGTTAAATTAACAATTTTTGCATTAGCTTGAAAATGATGGTTTTGTAATTGATATGTGCAGTACCATAAGTAAAATACCCACAATGCTTTA